GCTTCTTAGCACCCCGCCGCCTAGTCACAAAAGAACCCCCGAAAAAAAACCATCAAAATCACGAGCCTCACCATTGAACACGACCGAGGAAGGACGCCAAGCGGGATCACAAGCTTGCTCCTGGATAGCTTCTTCGAACCCCTTCCGGATTAGGCCCTTGAGATCGTCCTCCGAAGGGTACCGAGCAAAGCGGTAAGAAGGCCCGCCAATCCTTGACCAGTAGACAAAGTCGATGCCCTTGATCTTGACCTTGGCGGGGCCGTCGGGAACCCCGCGAAGGTCCTCCGCGTACGTGTCCCCGTCGGGCGTATGCAGCACCCATATCCCATCCTGGACCCTCCAGAGTGCTAATCGCTCATGCCATACTGAATCATTGTAGAAGACTCCCAAGGTTTGGCCAAGCTGGATGCTCAAGTATGCCATGGCCTCGGCGGCTTGGACTTGGAGGCAAAGATGCGGCCTTTGAAGACCCACAGCAGTAAACTCCCAGGAGCGCCGAGCAAGCGCCCAAAGAGCCGGCACCTAGAATAGGAGACCAATCACGCTCGAGGACAACCGGAGGGCAGTCACAGTGGCACTCGCAGGCCAGAGTCGAAGGTGGATCGGCTACCTTTCTACGCCCACCTGGGATAGCTGAAGGCAAAGAGCCGCGAGCAGAGCCTCCAGCTTCATGGCATGGCAAACCCCTCGCTTTCCGCTTGAGCATATAATGCCCGGCATTTCGCTTGGATTCTGCCCTACGTTTCCAATCAACTCGTGCACGCACTACCATATTCCAAAATTCTGGCATCTATGGCCAGACAAGGTGGGAAATCTCCAAAAATTTTTGGAATTTTTTGAGCATTGCAGTGGTTCGTGCGTTGTGGCATTGGAAACTCTCGAACTTTTTGAGCATTGTCCTGTTGGATTTTTTGTTAGCAACAGTGATGGATGTCGACCCAACATACATGTATGTGGAAGGCTGCCGATAGTTATCAACAGTGTTAAAAAGGCGCCAACCCACTGCTGATTCATGTACACTGCATTGAGTTAAAAAAAGGCCAAGTGCACATGGCTGGATGAACATTCATGTTCAATGCTTCGTAAGCAATCACGAAGCTTCAAATTGGGCAGCTGCTATCACCGTCGACAAGTTCTTGATTGTCAAACGGGCTGCCAAGTTCTCATCCAAGCCAAATTTCACGGCTGCTGTGGTCAACTCCTGTTTGGAGGGGCCGTGCTTGAACAACTCCTGAACGGTAGCCACGTGCTTTTTCAGCTGTGTGAACTTTCCTTTGAAGGCGGGTTTTTGTCTTCAAAGTTTGAAGCCCATCTTCAACATGTTGATCAGTCGCTCCCTTGGGTCGAGAATCCAGTTTGTTCTCGGGAGGACTTGTCAAAAGTTTCCGGGCTTCTTCTTTGCTTGAGTCTTTGCTCAGCTTGGCCTTCTTGGCAGGCTTTGAATTAGCGTCTGCTTGAATAGGCAACCGGGTTTCTGCCTGATCACGTGATTGAGCATTCCTCTTGTCGGGAGTCCATGCTAAGCCACTAAGCCATGAGCTGCCAGCTTGGCTTTGGCTTTTGCTAACGCCTCAGTTTCCTCAGATGAAGGTTTTGCCGGCAGCTTGGCTTTCATATGGTCTACCAAATCAGACGGCAATCGTTGCATGAAATTCGTGGCGTCTTTGTGTTTTTCGGGAATTTATTTCTTGCGCGAAAGCGAAGCTCTGGCCACTTCATCGACATCCAGATCCATCTCTCTGATTCTGTTCAGCAGCTGGGTCCACACAACTCCTTGGTACCGTCCTTCGCACAAAACTCGAGAAGAAAACTCAGAAGGCCCCGGTGGGAAATCGGATGTCCTTTGTGGGGGGTCCAAGAAGCTTTGCTTGCGGCTCCATTCGGTAGGCTGAACTTCGTTGAAAAGTTGATGACCTGGTTTGCCTACGGGGCTGCCGGTCCCAAAATTTGCCGTCAGAATTAAATGACACAGGAAGAGTAGGCTTCGGAGCTGAAGGCGGGGCTGTACCTGAGGTAGTAGGTGCGGAAGGCCAGGAGTTCCATCCCGGTTGTTGGACCAACGACTATCGTTCTTGTTGTCCCAATTGTTCTCGTACCACTCGGTCATGGCTTCGCACAGAAGAGATCGATGGCAGGATGTGACAGCTGAGGCTTCGATGGTTCCTTGTTGGGCCAAACAGGCCTCAAGGCTTATCAGGTGCATTGAACACGATTCAATTGAAAGCAGCCTAGCAGCTAATCGCTCAGGATTATGGTTGTGCGGTATCGAGAACACATATCCCTCTGATGAACCGATCAGGGTTCGGCAACAGGTAGCCGATCAGGGCTGATGCAATTAGAACCGATCAGGTTTGAGAACCGTTCAGGTTTCAGAGCAGTAGGCAATCCCACTGTAGACGGCACGTTGAACGAAAAATCGTCTAGACACATACTTGTGCCATCCTCCCTCTGATTGACATCGTTTTCAAAGTTAAGTGCTCCCGAAATGAGAGGCAAAGACCTCTAGCCACTAAAACTCACCATGGCAGGTAAAAGGCATGTTGAAAATTGAAAAAGCACATCACTGTTTACTTCAATGTCGACTTGCCAAGTTTGTGCTCGGCCTGGTTGCCATTCGCTCTACAGGTACGTCGAGAAAGCTTCTCTTCTCTAGCAATCAGAGTGTCTTCATCGGCGGGAGACTCTCAATGCATACTCCTGTGCCCTGCAAAACGATCAAGATTCCTCAGTGCCCTATCGCTTCGTAACAGGGTTGTACACAGACAGACAGACAGACAGACAGACAGACAGACGCGCCCGCCGCTCGCGCGCGCACACACACACACACGCTCGCACATGCACACACGCGGACTTACACGAGACGCGTGCACACACGTCCACCAGTGCAGCTACCCATGCCGCTTCGATGCTGCTGAAAGTCCTGGGCACCCCTGAGCGCCAGGCACAATCTCAGACATGGAAACCGCACCATCCTCTTCCTTGGGACATGCGTTTCTGTTGAAACAATACTGATCAATTCCTGGTACTTGCAAGCCGGCAGGACCAGGCGAGGCTTAAAGCCATGCTCCACTTTCTTGGCTACAGCAGGGACGACGATTGCTGCTACATTGAGAGGTGCTGTGAATATCGCGATGGCGAATTCACCTGTTGATTTTGATGCCAGGGATACGGCTTCTGTCGCGGCTGATGCCATCTGATTTCTGATGCTACTTCCTACCAGTACTACTGCCACTAGCACTACCACCACCACTACATCTACAACTACAACTACAACTACCACTACCACTACCACTACAACGACTGCGACGACTACTACGACAATGACGACTACTACCCACCACCACCAGCACCACCAGCACCAGCAACACCACACCAGTACCAACACTCCAGCTAGTCTGCTCTGCAGTACTCCTCCCACTACTACTGCTGCTGCTGCTGCGCTGCTGTTACTACTGCTACTACCACCTCTACTACTACCCTCCACTACCACTACCACCGCCGCTACTACGACCACGACTACTGCTACACTACCACCTGCTGCCTGCTGCACTCCTAACATTCTGTGCCTGCTGCTCCTGCCACTGTTGCTGCTGCTGGTGCTTCTCCTGCTAGTCGGGTTACCCATTGCTCTTGCTACTGCTGCTGCTGCTGCGAGTAGTAGGTACCACGAAAACATGACAGTATTGCTTTGACCAACCAACACAACCACCACTGCTAGTGGCACTTGTACCATCACTACTTGGTGGAGGCAAAGATGGCAAGCCTTCCAACTCATTCTGCTTGAACGATGCACAGACCTGCTGGTGGACACCTGATGTTTTGCATTGGGCCTGAGAGCAGTGAACTGGGGAGTGAGGCTGATCAAAGAGCTGCTTTCTGTGCCGGCGGGTGTTGCTTTCGCGAATGCCGGCCTGGTTGCATCTGGCCGTTTTGCGCCATCAGATGCAATCAACACAGAACTCAGAAAGGCTCTCGAGATTGACTCAACCAAGGTGCTGCATTGAACGCATCGAAGACGCCAGGCCGTGGCTCCACCACCCTAAGGGGCCCAGAGGCATCGACCGAAAAGTTCAAGAGACTAAGCGACCATGGCTCCAAAGCCAACAGCCCCTGCCGTCTTTGTGTCAAGCCACACATCTAATGAATCCAGAAGTTGCCGTACCTGGCAGCACTGCCCAGCAGAGCTACGCAGCTACGGGCAAAAGCCCGGGGCGGGCCTCGGGGCTGCGGATCACGTGGTTGAACTCCTCCTCACCTCAGCGCGGTTCTCTCGCCCACACTGTCAAGTCTCTCGCAGCAAGGTCCGAACGGAACGGGACCCGTGACGATAGTGTTAGTGTGTGATTCTGCCCGCTCGCCCGTCTGACAGAAGTCGGACTGCAGAAAACGTCTGAACTCCAAGCAAGAATATGGGTGGCGCAAGTCCCAGGCATTCTCAAAGCATTCCCCAAAGAAACCACATCAACTGCAACTGTCAACCAACAAAGGAGCGGGACATGCCGGAACACCGAACTCACCGACGAAGTCAACTCATACTACAGTATGTGGTGGGGGTGGGAAAAAAGGAAGCGATCATCTTCGCTGCGGCCCCCTGTTCGCTTCCTTGCCAGGACTTGCGACTGCAAGTACGCACGCCAAAAGAGGCGTGAGGCGGTACAGAGTCAGATTCGCATCTCCTCACGTCTCCTCTTGCATGTGGTGTAGTATATGTGGTCCGGCAAAGGTCCACTCCCTCTTTGTCCCTCTCCCTCTCCCACTCCGTCCGTGTCTAGAACGCTTGAAGGTGCTTGAATTGGGTCTTGCGACTAGAGGCTTAGAAGGCATCGCTACCGCTTTGGCTGAACCTGTGCGACGGCCTGCCGTGCTCTCTGATTTATGGGGATGCTTTGCTTGAGTAAGGACGCAAAGAGAAGGAACACCTGTCAATAACACGTTGCTCTGCACCTGAGACTCACAAATGAAGCTCGGAGCAACATGCAGAGTGTCTAATCTCACCCCTCTCAAACGACCGAGATGCTGAGGTAAATCTCACCTCCTTGTGCTCCAGGCTCATCTTCGTCAGAACTGCACAGGACGGTAGAGGCTAGCATGCGGGCTTTGTCTAACTGCCACTTCTGCACCCGGCCTTCCATCAGAGTTTAAGCCGCGTATCGTTTTCCTGGCGGACAGCAACTCGCACGTTTTCTTCCCTGGCGTTAGGACTTCGCTGTACAGCGCAGAAACAGGGTCCTCGCCCGCATCATCTGTGTCTGACTTGCGACACAAACGACGAGTTTGGCAAGCTGCTCGGTCATGTAGCTGGTTTCATACGCCTTTGCGTACTTTCGCTGGGTCTCAGTCTCCTTCAGGCCGTTCCTGGGGGTAAGGAACAACAATAACTTACAATCTTCGTCCCAAATGCGATTGATGTGAGGCTTGAAGCCAAATATCAGGGTCGCTTCGACAAAGATAGCTGTGATGATGTTGAACAAGCCGAACAAGACCTTGCAGCATGCACCGAGTCACGCTTGGATGCGTCTAAATGCCGGATTTCGGCACTTCTGCACACGGCTGAGTGGCACAAACCATGCTGAACGCATAGAGGATGTCAAACCGGAGCCCAAAGCCATTGCTGAAGATCATTGTTAAGGATCTCCCACCTGCGCATGATGCTTGATGACAAATGAATCGGCGTCATAACGAAGATCACGGATTCAGGCTTTGCTTGCTAAGGGCCGTTCTAAACTAAACCGGAGAGGGTCAAAGAGCTTGAATTCTATAAAGAGCAGGATAAGGACAGTTCAGTTTGGTTTTGTCCTCGTGTCTGGCTCTGGGCGCAAGCCTGCCGATGTGCAGTCGCCAATCATACAGCGGAAGATGGAGAACATACAGCGGGCGACGTCGCCGCAGTACTCATCTCCATAAATCAGATGTATCTGCCCCTCATAAGGGCCTTGGTGCTAGCCGTACTTGCATCGTTTCTGTGCAGCCCGGCCGCCTCTGTTTAAGCAGAATAATTGAGTCTGAATGACAGCCAGGCGGGACATCGGCAGAACTCATGTCCAGATCGTCACCGCTTCCACACTTCTCACCGGTGTCGGAATCCGCGAAGCTCTGAACCAAAGACCGAAGTGCCAGCGCACAGACCTCAGGTCTCTGTGTCTGCAAAAACCAGAAACGCCAGGGAAGTAATTTCACTCAGCTCGCAACATACACAACCACGGAGAGCGTGACAACGACCCAAAACAGCGATCTCACCTGAGCAGCTCTGGCGTTGACACCAAACACCAGCTCCAATGTCTATTTAGCCGTGCTGGAGCTGAGCGCAACACGCTGATGAGAAATCCTCAGATATTCGGGTGCTAAAACATACGGTGCTGTCAGCATTCTCCATCGCACGGCTCACGCACTTGTCGAGGCCAAGCAAATCATCGTACTAGACTAGACATCTCCAGCTGAAACTGCACCGTGGCTTCCAGAAGGAAGCCTAACTTGCGGGGAGGTGTTCATGTTGATACAAAACCAAGCAGGGGAGGTTCTCGATGCGAACCGACTTGTTGACGCGAGCAGACATGCGCGTGTACTCGGTAACTAACCAGACCATGCCACACACATCCTCACACAGGCAGGTGGAAACAAGATGCAGCCGCAAGGGCACACGCAACGCAACCAATGTGACTCATGGGCCGGGCCGACAATGAAGCAGAAGGTTGACAGGCATGTCAAGAAAAGCGTGACCACAACCACTTTCCACAAAGACTCGTTGACATTCAATCACTTCTTGCGATCCGTAGACATGAGCAGTTAGCATCAGTTAGCAAGGGCCGTTGAGACTGCGCAAGTGGCCTGAGACTATGTTGGCCAGCTCTTGCAGCAATGGCATGTTGATCAGCTTGGCCAAGCGGGCCACCCTCGCCTCATCGTCACTCGGCAACGAGGAGCTGGATCTGAACATGAGTCCAAGATGAGGCCGTAGCCAAGCGAAGGCCACGAAGAACTAGAATAATCTTCCTTAGGGCGCCAACGAATGCATTTCGCCTGGGTACTTCTCGAGTCCTGTGATGACCGCCTGGCGATGCGTTCCGAGATGCGCCCGCGATGAGTTTTGGAAGATAAGGTTCAGAAACAGGTCGATAATAGCAGCCTATGGTCAGATGTCGGCGAGGAAAGCCGTCCCAAGCCCTCTTATCTCTTGCACTCGCACAGTATGATGCAAAAGCATCTTCAAGACTGACTGCGGGAAAGGTTTGATGAAGTGTGATGAAAACTCATGCCTGGAAAGTCCAAAAGCCGAGAAAAGCAAGCAAACCTGACTTCTGGACACCGGGCTTCTCTTCTCACTGATCCTGGCTTTGGCTAGCGAAACAACAGAACCGCTGATTCCGGAATGTTCCGGATGCACGCGGCGCGCGCCGATAGGTGTTTAGACTGTCTTATGTACACTGTTACACAGTTCTGATTTGCGGTCAAAGCAGCCAGAGTCAGCCCGACATCGAGCCAGTTCCACCATCTCTCCGATCCACAAAAATAAATCCAAGGGCCGAGCACCTGGGCATCGAGGCCAAAAAACATGGGATGCACTCGTCACTAAGAGGGTCTCCACGGGAGACCCTTATCCTCTACACTGCAGCTACGAGGGGGACCCGCCCGACCCGAACAACAAACTTCCTCACAAACATGAACTGCAGCAGGCAAGGGATCTGCAAACGCTGGGTTTCCAGATGCTTATGTAAACTGTAGATGTACAGTTGCAAGGCGAAGGTATCTATAGTTCTGCAACAACTGCTGCATAAGATGGAGCAGGAACAAGCAACATGCCGCGAAGTAATCAGTCAGCCGCGTTGCTACACATTTGACGACAATCTCGAGAACGAAAACGCTGGCAAAAATGGCTTCGAAAACCATCCAGCCAGCCCAGTCAGGCCAATTGTCCAGCGACAGCCCCATCAGTACGAAGCCTGAACCGCGAAAAAACAACCAGGCCAGACGTCATTAGATGTCGCCCGGTCACGAAATGGCTTGCTAAGGTCTTTTGTGCCACTAACGCCGAAATGGTTTCCCAAGCCTCTGATTGCTAGCCAGGTCGCTGAGGATAATCGCCGCTGTTGACATTCCCGATGCCACACTTACCCAACGAGAGGTGGGCTTGGAGGGCTTCTGGACTTCATCATATGCTGTTAGCAATGCCTTGGTGGCGCCTGTTGTTGGAACCGCATCTCCAAGCAATGCCTGCTGCACTGCAAAAAGATTCAAGGCCTGAGCTGCACCGTGGCGGCTGAACCACCCCCATGTACCCCCATTCCTATCCCGAGCGCTGAGGACTCGGCCACCCTACCAGATGCAAAACTTGGCAGGTCCTCGACCAGCAAGCACTCCTCAGAACTGCGGCGAAGGAAAGCATGCGGCAGCAAAGTTGCGAGAGTCAACCGGTACTAGCTGCCAACTTGCCCGATCACCGGCACGAAAGTTAGAACGGTGGCTATCTAAATTTCCTTTCATTTACTTATGTATGTCCGTTCGTCTACGGCTATTTATGCTTATACTTATTCGTAACATTTCGTAACATTCATGACCAGGGTTCACTCCTGTTTTGCAGTCTCGCTACTTGGAAAGCTTTCCAGGAGATGACGGGCTGGAAGGCCTGATGTGCCTTTCCCTGCAATGAGGTTCTCGGGCCCTTCTCGAAGATCGTTTGGTGGATGCGCCGGAGCTCCATTATCACCTGCAGGCCCGGAAAGCACTCAAACGCGATGTCCAGCGGATCTTCCCAAGCCCATGCCTCTTCCAGCTCTTCCTCAGCAGCCCCGAAGGATTCATGGGGACACAGCTTGTGTTCAAGCCAAGACCCTTTTCAAGCACAAGCCACAACAAGACAAGCGGCAGTGTTGAGAAGAGTAGGGAGTTGAGGCATGGTGGTCTGAGTCTTCCGCGAGGTTTTCATGGCCGCATGCAGATCCTCAGGCAATGATGATGCATCTGATGCAGGAGGATGAAGTCGAAGGTTACGGAGCGTGAGTCATGCGGATATGTGGAAGCACCAGCGGCGGCTGTGGATCGCAAGGGGAGCTTCTTGGAACCACCGAGAAGCAAGACCCACCAATCTGCAGCGAGCGGCGTTAGGCATGATAACTTTAGCTGCTGCATCCTCAATGTCGAACTGCTTCTCGAGCCTGCACTGCACAGGGGCGAAGCATTGATTCGTCGACCCCGCGCCTACCCCGCCCCGTGGCCGGCGTAGCACCGAAGCTTTGGCTCTTAAAAACTTAAAAATCTGTAAAGGGCCACAAACCAGGATAAAACTGATAAGAAGACCTCGGTGGTCCCCTCGCATCCCCAAGCGGAAGATCCTTAATTACGCACATAAGGCAGCTTCTTGGGTGTTGTTGTGCTACTTCCGCCCCTGACCTCGTTAGGAGCGAAGACCCATTCTCAGTGCGACTCCTCGGCACTTTTCGCGCATTCAAGTTTGGCTGGCTAACAACACCGCGAGCTGCATAATGTCGCTCGTCCAAGGTGTGCGAGCGGATGCTTGAGGTGCAAGCCCCACTGTCGCCGAATGTTACTGCATCCAAGAATCGTGAGCATCGGGGGCAGGTCCTGAGGTGCGCTGATCAACGTCGAAACCATCTCACGGTGGTGACTACAATGACGTCCATGCAGTGATTCTGCAGGAAGAGAAGGTCAGAATCTGCCACACCATCATGGACGAAAACGGCAAACTTTCAGGCAGATTTACATGGTTTAACGGTGCCACTCACGTGTCTGTGCATCCACATGGCATCATGGAACTCTTCTGCAACTTGTAGCTGCAGAAGCGTCTGAAAAAAAAACGACTGGCAGTTGGCACGTACGTGGGAATTAAAAGTCTCACAGACAAGCAATGGGTGACTCTCCGTTTTTGTGAGCTGATGCCCTTTTCAACCCTCTCTTCCCCGGCATGCCAATGCAGGGATCCGAAGCTATCCGCTCTGGGCAAACGTTTGTGTTCGGCTGAGGGGACGGTTTGCCATCTGAGCCACCGGGGCTCCAGGCCTTGTGCTTTGCAAGCGGCCCACGACCCTACGACTGAGCCCCAGGACCACAAGACAAGTCGAGGCACCTGACTCCCCGATGTTCCTCCAAAGCAGCGATTCAAACATGCACGCGAGATTCTCTCGCGCTTGTATTCTTGTTGCTTGCTTTCGCTATCGTTCGCTTTAGACTCCTGTTCCTCGAGGCTATTCAGCTTCTTTCACCAGGTTAGAGATCCAGGATGCTGGCCCGACTCTCTCGCTCTCTTCCTTGCTTCCTTCCTGCCTTCCGTCCGTCGCGGCATTTGGCAAGCTGAGTGCTTGGACCACTTGGAAGTCTGCCGTGCCCGTATCGACTGCTCTCCATCTCTCTAACATTCACGCCATCGGGCTCGCTACATTCGTCAGAAACGGAGCTGGAAACATTTGTGCCATGTAGCAACAGGCACGCAGCTCTGCAAAGACGATCGCCGCGTCTTGCTGCCACGGCTGGTATTTGCGGCAGACTCGCATGAGGCCTGGTAGCACTCGCATCCCACGGCTCAAACGTCGGAAGGCCCCTGCCTGCGAGAAGCCACTCATCGAGCGACGTCGTGGGCGTGTCACCAGCACTTTGGCCTCGACGTGGCCACCATTATCGAGCTTCCATAGCCTGATGGTGAGGATTGGAGCAGCAGGGCAGTTTCTCCGTTGGACGGTACCCAGACCACTGGACCGTGTGGGGCCTGTGTGCATCGCATACATGCCTTCAAGATGCTGCTTGTCTGCGTTGACTTCTACAAGTGCAATGGCAACAGAATGTCCGTAGCCGTTGATCTCCAAATTCAATTCGAGCTTGTCGGGGAGGTCGTCTACTTGCGCAAAGCAAGACCTGAAGCCGCCAGGCTATGCACAAAGCAAGGTGCCTTATGGTGCCTTCAGGTGCATGCGGACACACGTGGCTTTCAACCGAAGTCGACGCCATCGGTTCTAGCAATGCTGCAGACCGGCGGCATGCTTGCGCCGTGTGGGCCCCATACCTGCATCTTATCCCAGACAGATCACACAAGAAAACCAGAGTCAGAGAGCCTTTCCCTGAGCAGCGATGCTTATATAAGCGAAGGTGCCGCTCCCCAGAGGCTCAAGTCATCGTCGCTGCACTCACCGGGTCTACCTGGCTCCTGTGAAGTTAACAGGCAAGACGCAGCAGTCTGGCAACATGATGCTACGAAGATGCATGAAGATACAGTAACGCAAACACGCTGTGCACGGTCTTTAAGACACATTACGAAGCATGTCAATCAGCATCGTCAAGCGCAATTGAGGCTGATCCTTGTTCAAAGCTGTCCACTCCGTGGCTTTGATCTGCAAGCCGATGTTCGTGGAAACTCTGCACTTGGAAATCGACGGGCCGCCTCCTCCTGCGAGTCAAAAACTACGCAAAGCAATGCATGGGCGGCTGCGTGATCGGAATGCCCGGTCCTTGCTGGATGAGAGTGTCAGGTAAGCCCTGCACTGAATACACTGTGAGCTCTACCTCAGATGCAGTCAGAAAGCCCAAAAGCTATAGACTCTCACTCTCACACAATGAAATGTCAATCGAATCTTATCACACCTGGCTGCAGCTGTGGTTTCCGCCGCACCTATCCGTAGAGACTGGCTCGGGGAGCTAAAGGAGAAGGAATCCGCCTTGCGAGTTGCAGGGATGCAGCCTGTCTTGTGGTCAAGTTCGCAGACCAGAATGACCGAACGACCGCAAAGCATGCCAAGCTCCCTATCTTTCGCACAGAAGGTAGCTTATTCACTCATAACGTCCGCCAACTGACTGGCGCTGCCGTCTCATCGCGCAGCTTCTCGATCTCCAGTTCAAGGTTCGGCCTGTCGACAGCCAAGCCCACCTGGCACATGCATTGTAGATCGTTGTAGCGATATGTAACCACTGCCACAGGCTTGGAGATCCTGGCCTAGCGACAAGCCTCAACCTGTTGCCTCAGTCCTCGTACAGTCCTGCTGCCGCGTTTTCTCACCGCAAGCCTCACCCCCTCACGCATACATGGCATCACCAGCAAAGCATGCTCTGCGATCAGAACAGAGCCCAGCATGCCTACACGGACTCCGCACTAAGATGGAATGGCTGGAATACTCCGGCCTCGCGGAGAGCTGGCTTGGGGGGCTCCTGAAAGGAATGTTCAGTTTTGCTGCTAGGTATTTCTTCTGATTCCCTCCACCCTGTCTCTGGCTCTCCGGACAGGCAAAAGGCGATTCGGGCTTGGGAAATCCAAGCTTTCCTGGAACAGTATTCTGAGTTTGGGTGTCGTGGGGGTCCCATTCAAAACGAAAGTTTGGATGGTTCGATGAAAGCCAAACAGACGAAGACCTCAACCAGTGAGATAGGGACTTTGTGCCCCAGACAGGGCGATGCCCTCTAGCCTAGAAGCCCGCTGATGGCGTCGGCTCTGCCACTATGATGATGGACAGATACATACAGACCGAGACTTGAGGCAACTCTGCAAGAGGATGCAAAGATCTGTCTCCTGTGGCTGCGAGAGAGTCTTGAGCGAGCGGATTTCGTCTTGAAGCTGCCTGTTCGTTTCCTGTAAGATTTTGAGCTCCAGATCCTTGGGCTGAGCCATGCACAGAGGCTCCTCATGAACAGAGAGTTAGAACAGCTGAATGCCAAGACAAGCTGCATGCTCTTCGGAAAGTTGCGCCAGCAAGCGGTCAAAGCGTGCAGACCCTCCGTGTAGCATCGCTGCAGCACTAATCAAGCTATCAATGCTGGTTTGGACCTCTGATGTCGGGTGTCGTTGGTATCTTGTGTCGGGTTTTCAGCCTGAAATGCCTCGGGAACAGTCGGGTCGCTGCTTCTGGAGGTGCGCAAGCACTGTCGCTGTCTCTCCTTCTCTCTGTCGTCTGTGACTCGCCGAGCCGTCCCGGGCCGGCCTGGAGTGCTGCGGCATGCACAAGCTCGGTTGTATGCCACATGTGCAACAGCGCAACACATGTACGGAAACACATTCCAAGCATCTGTTCCAGCACTTGCAGACACGCTCAAGCGCACACACATGCGGCATCGTAAGCACATCAAAACTTGCAACGACACCCTCACAAGAGAATGCTGTGGCACAAGACGCACGGAGACTGTTCTGTGCCTGGGACCACGAACTCTGATTTCAAGCCACTTGCCACGATGTCGAGTGAGCTTGCATTGAGCAACTACACTACATGGATCTGCCACTGTTGCTGTCGAAAACCACCGGCTCTTCTGATGTGTTATGGCATGAGGTATGCTTCGTTGAATCGGGCGGGGACGAGGGTCACTGCAACGGCATCGCTGGGTCACTGAGGGCCCACGGGTCTCAAAATGGCGCACGGCTGCTAATGGGCCATTATGGTCATGGTGGTCCAAGAGGTCCAAGTGCTGCCGTGGCCAAGCATGGCAGTGCTTGGCGCTCAACTGCAAACAACTAAACAACTGCAAAGAGTTCAAGACCAAGACGTGTGGATGTGTAATGAAGCAGTGGCTAAGCAGGAGCGTTCGCAACAGATCTTGTGCCATCAAGCTCTGCCTTCCCATTGGCTTGGCCCACGGAACTTGAGATGAGAAGTGAAACTGTGATGCTTTGAGCATCACAAGCTGTCTGTTCCGCGGTTGCTACGATAAGGCTTCGGAGTGAAGCCTGCTGAGAGTTGTACTTCTTGTGCCTTTGGCACCTATCTTTTTTGCAATCTGGAAGTTTGTAGTCTTCACTTCCTCGGCAAGCGATACAAAGTTGGCAGCTTTCTTGCAGTGCCGAAGTAGTGAAGCCTGAAAAGGCGCCTGAGACGAGGTATGTGCTAAAATGGGCCAAGCCGCCATGATCTGCTTCCTTGTCCAGGCCCCGCGCTTTCAAGGATCACCACTCAAAAAGACTGATGAGTATCATGTGCAAAGCTAGTCCAAGCCGCTGCATGTTCTCGAGGCCCATCTGGGCAATCACCAGGTCAATCTTGTGCAGATCGCCTCGTAGCCGCATAAGGCCAGACCTTCGCAGCTGGTACAACGTCCCTGTAGACATCTTCCCATCCTGTCCCGGTCAGGTCCGGGCACAAGTTCCGAAATCGAGACGGTGCCATCTTCCTCCTCGAGGCGTGGGTGCTAACAATGGTCACGGTTATGTACAGCACCTCAATTCGGCCAGGCAGCGGTGTTGAAGGCCTCAAAGACTCCCGGACGAGGCTCCACGCTCCTCGGGCTTCGGATCTCTACAAGCGCCTCCATCTTCTCGCAAATCGGCTCACACCGCACACGGCCAAGAATCACATCCAGCTCGTTCAACAGCATCCGTACCTCCACAGTGGCCACAGTGTCAGCAAACCCCAGTTGCCGCAATCCCATCTCGGATCCTGACTGAGTCCCTCTATCCTACACTACTGACAGCCCATGTGAGTCAGGTCTCCTCCGGCATTCTGATCAGCTGATTGAACTCTTCCTCACCTGATACATCTCAGAAGCAAAAGTGTCATGGCATAGCCTGGGCGATCCTGCACGCTTCTGAGAATGCCAGCTCAAACAACCCGCTTAGCACGCTGCTTAGGTAGGTCTCCTCTGCATGCAGGTTTGCGTTTGGACTTTCGGAGTCCACACCAGTTGTCTCCCTTGCAGGAACCAACATCAGCAGGTTCCACGGCATGATTATCCATGGCCCACAGCCTCAGGCTGAAAGCCATTCTCGAACCTGGAAACATTCCGTCCCCGAGCAAGCCAGGCAATGAGCTGTTCCTGCACGAATGGAGAAACATGTCCAACATCGTCTGACCATGAACCCAACTGTCCTGTTTCGCATCTTCTGCACTTGGGAGGAGAGGACCATAACAAGTTTGGCCAGTTGCTCCGTCATGTAGCTTGATTCATAAGCCTTTGCGTACCGGCGGTGCGACTCATTTTCTTTTAGGCCATTCCTTAGTCGCAGTGCGCCGGCTGTCACGCCGTGCAGAACCACTACATTACAATCGTCATCCTGTTCCTGGCACAAGCCACGGCCACGTCTACTGAGGTCCGCTCAACGTCGCTTCGACAAAAATCGCGGTAATGATGTTGAAGAGGCCCATTAGGACCTCAGAGTTTTGGTCAAGTGCATGTGTCTTCTCCGTCTATAATGTGCGGCAAAAGCAGTCCGGCAACAAGCTGAGCTGATTCTTGCTCCGAGTGGCAATAACCATGCTCCCCGCATAGAAAACGTCAAACTGGACCCCGAAGCCATCGCTGAAAATCATTGTCAGCGATCGTCCACCTACAGGCCAGCAAGTGAATCGAAACGCCGGGTTGTCTGAAATCATGCACACGGGAAACATGCAGTCGCTCTGCAGCCTTTTGTGGTACATTCGCCCACGATGCATCGAAAGATCGAGAACATGCAGCCGATGACTGATGCACAGTACTCTTCGCCGTACATATGGTGAAGCTTGCCTCAGAAGCCAAGCACATATGGACGAGAAAATCACAGCCCACCGACACGATCAGCTCCAAATCGGGCTCTTCACGTGGCAGAATGTGAAGCCATGACCCAGCCATTGAACTGCTAGGCTATATGAGATATGCATCACGCAGTGGCGAGGCGCACAGTGATCCATCTGTACCGATCACTGGTTCTCCCAAGTCAACTTCATCACCGAAAGGGCAGTTGCCCAGGGCATTCGAGGAAACCGCTTGGATAGTCGTGCGCAGGCCCAAAGACAACACCTTGCTGTGCAGACGCAGAGGCTAGGCTGTTGCTGCCCCAATCTGCTTAAGCAGTTTCAAGGACCTTGCATAAATCACCAAGTTCAGCGTCACGATGACCCAAAAAAGGGCGCGAACCTGTTGGAATGCAGCGGGTTGTGGATGCCGGCGCTTGCTTGTCAACTGGAGTAAGCGGAAGCATCGACATACCATGGGCCCCGGCGCTCAGAACAAAGCCTGCGGCAAGCCAGTCGCACAGGCTGTCAGGGGCAGATCGTCAAACTGTGGGAAAGTACAGGGACGTTATGTTGGGATCGACACCGAATGAAACAGCAGAACGCTGATAGAAAAGGATACCGTTAAGGAGGTACTGAGGTAAAGCTAAACTGACTCTACCACTGCGACAGCAAGATTTCAGGCCACATGTTGTAGAAGATGCAGCCCAATTCGAAGCTGGATTGCGTCACCATGACGAGTGACAATCGGTGTTTGCCTGTTATTAAACTTCGATAAGATCGGAAGGTGATCTGGTTTTGATCGGTACTGGGCGTGGCGTGGTGTGGCGTGGGCGTGGGTGTGTTTAGTGGTGTGTTTGTGCGCGTGTGTGGGTGTGGGTGTGGGTGTGGGTGTGGGTGTGGGTGTGGGTGTGGGTGTGGGTGTGGGCGTGGGCGTGGGCGTAGGTGTGGGTGTGTGGGTGGGTGTGTGGGTGTGGGTGTGGGTGGGGGTGGGGGGGTGGGCGTGGGCGTGGGTGTGGGCGTAGGTGTGGGTGTGTGGGTGGGTGGGTGTGTGGGTGTGGCTGTGGCTGTGGCTGTGGCTGTGGCTGTGGCTGTGGCTGTGGCTGTGGCTGTGGCTGTGGCTGCTGTGGCTGTGGCTGTGGCTGTGGCTGTGGCTGTGGCTGTGGCTGTGGCTGTGG